TTTTATATTGCGAACAATAAATTTCATTACTAATAAAAATAATTTCTGATAAAATAAAATTTTTTACTAATTTTAAGTATAATAATAATCATATAATAAATATAACAAATAATTTAATATAACTTTACTGAATTTTCTCATTATAACGAATCATATTCTCTAAAAATTAAAATTTGTTATAGAAAGTTTCAACCATATTAAAGTATTTGTAGAAACTGCTTGTATATAATTTGCAAATCAAATCAAATATTTGAAGATTAATTTGTATTTGATCAAATAAAATTTCTTTAATTTGAATTTAATCAAATCAAATAAAGATTAGTTTATATTTGATCAAATAATTTTTTCTTTGATTTGAATTTGATTGATCGAATCAATTATTAATTTGATTTTGTATTTGATTTGATTTTCAAATCGAATATTCAAATATCAAAACGAATTGCAGAATCCTAGTAACAACTGATATCCTATTGTAGGTTATATTGCAATAGATCCTAGTTCAGCCTCTAGCCAATGCAGATTATAATATTAATTTACTATAGAATTTACCAGTTTAATTTTGTGAATGAATTTCATAGAATGTATACAAACCATATATATTAAAGATCACAAATTTGTAGAATAAGATAACTATTTGATAGTTATTTACATAAAGAATGGTAATTCTTATGGCATAAGTTGTATAAGATCACTTCATCTACATATCACTCTGACAATAGGTAATGATGATAAGTAACTTGAAGCATAATGAACTTATTAAGTTTGGAATTTATATCAAGGGGCTGATCTGTAAAGGATAAGTGTCATATTGTTTATAAAAAATACTAGTAAGGATAGGATTAATGATAAGTATTATATAACTTAGATTGAACAATAGTTGTAGATTATAGGTAGTTGATATTGCACTATTTTTAATTATTATGATGTCTATATTACAACTAAGGTTTTGAGGCCTGATTTTGATCTTTAGGGTGATTTTGATATATGATGAGATAACTATAGTATAGGCTATCATCTTAGGTTATTCTTAACTCTCTTTCCAGTAGTTATTATGAATATGAATGATAACAGTATTACCGGAAATAATTCTTTTTGTATTGCACATGTTTCACTAAGTTACTTTACTGCAGCAAGTAAATTCCTTATCATTGGACTTTACAACCTTAGGGAATCTCACGTCTTACAGGTATCCAGAATGCTTTGGAATTACTTTACGAACTTAAAGGTTTAGAGACTTAAGGAAAAATGTAGAGAATTTGTTTATTCTAAGTGACAAACTCAATGCAAATTAGTATAGTGGTTCATGATCAAATCCTAGATATTAGATACATAGAAGGGAAAAGTAATTGTTTTTCAAAATTGATTCCTTTATTTATTACTTGAATTTGTAATAAAGCTAAAACTTGTAATTAAAGATGAAAACTGTAATTAATATGTTGCAACTTTTAATGTTGCAACTTACGTTGCAATTAGTTTTAACCTATATATGTTGCAACTTATAATGTTGCAACATATGTTGCAACTAATTTTAGCTATGTTGCAACATTTTGTAAATTTGAAATCAATTGCTATACCATTTTTAGTTGCAACTAATTTTAGCTTATGTTGCAACATTTTGTAAATTTGAAATCAATTGCTGTGCCATCTTTACTTGTAATAAAGTTTAAACTCGCAAATGAGTTAATTTACAATTTAAGCAAAAAGCTATTCTATTTATACAAAATTAATTTACTACAGCTAACTAGTTGCTATATTATAAACTAACTAAATTTGTAACTTTAAATACTAATATAATAATAATAATAATAATAATAAAAATAATTAAAATAATGAAAATAAGCGTTATAACAATTATCTAACTTATAAGGCTTATCAGATAAATTCTAAGAATTTTAAGAATCCTATGGATCCAAAATTATGCAGATCTTCTAATTTGTGATTGACATAAAATTTAATTCCAGTAACTTCTATAGTTTATTTGATAATTCTTTGTAGATCAACTTTTTAATAGTAAATATTTAACTGGTAACAACAGATATTATAGCACTCTATCATGAGGTTTAGTGGTTTAGCAGTTTATTTGGTAATGACATCCATTTACCTAAGTTTAACACAAATTCATACTGGGTTGCAATATATCAAATGGAGGTTATAGTGGTAATTATATATTATAAGTCGTATTATTTTGTTGAAGGGTATGCAATCAAACTTTACCACCAGTGTGTGTTTAGTAAAAGTATCAAAAAAATAATTTTGACCTAAAAAAAAAATCTCTTTCCTATTGATTATACCCAAGAATTTTTGTTGAAAAACATATCCATTCAAGTATGCTTGCAGGTTAGTCTATGAATAACTCTAATTATTCTAGTAATTAAATATGTTTTTCTTTTTAATATCTTCCTTTTATGTTAATACATAAAAGTATTGTTGTTAGTCTATATAAAAGTATTTTTCAAATTTTTTACTTTTCATCTCTACAGTATCTTTTATTTTCTTTTTTCATTTTCTTGATGCGTCTACTAAAATAAAATGAGTGTCAAGGGATATTCAAAATTTGCTGATTGACATTTGCTTTAGTAATACCAATAATGCCTTCTTACTTTCCTCTTTTTTGCATTATTTATTCTATATCAATTGAAGAGTTGCGACAGTTATGCAGTTCATACTTACTAGAACCTTCTATAGAAATTATGATCTAAGCATCAATTTAATAAATGTTACCAAATTGGTAGAGGTTGATTTTAGAATTAGGATTTCATATATTGTGATAAATGGATCTGCATTACTTAAGAAACACGAAGAAATTGTTATTATCTAATTGTATCATTAGGATTTTTTTCTTTTCTCTTATTAGAAGTACTTATTATATTAGTTTTTCTAACCAGTATATATGTTGTGATTGGAATTAACAACATATCAGACCATCTGTTATTAGAAATATTTCTTTAATTTTAAAGTTTCACCAAAATGGTTAAGTTAGTTTGTATTTCCTTTCAAGTCTTATCAACTGGTAAAAGGATTTTGTGTACTTTCAATAATCATAGGAAGCATGAGCCTTTTGGTAGGAAGAAAGCACGTATTAATCTTATTTGTGTTTTATTCTAATGTAATTATTTTGAAAGAATATCAAAGGATATCTGTATAAAACTTTTTAACTGAAATAGACAACAATATTCAATTTCGTTATCATAATCTAAGTAGTTTCTTTTTGATTGTATAGTCCCTTTTATTTTTATTTTTTATTTTTTATTTTATTTCTTTCTTCTATATATATAGAAGGCAGTCAGTAGAAAAGGGGGAAATATAAAATTTTTATTAATTTTTATTATTAAAACAAATTTGTACATATGATTGAGATTAGCCTTTTGACCAAAATTTAGATTTTCCCTCTTTCTGCTGACTGCCTCCCATATTATTATTTTATTTAGTTCTTTGAAAGGTTGAGTTGTTGATGATTAATGACTTAATAAATGTTTATCTTGTGATTCTTATGGAAGCTCACTATGACAAAGATTATTGCAAATGACTTTTAATATAGTTATGAAGCATTTGTTATACTTTTTATAGTATTTTTATTTTTCAATTAAATCTAATAAAGTTATAACGTAATCTAAGTCATTAAAAAAAATGATTTCATTTATTTTGATCATTTTTAGATATCTGAAATGATTTATTTTAACTTTATGTATAGTACCAATATAACATCTTATAAAAAAAAATCAAATGTAAGTTTAATTTATAAATTATATTATAATAGCTTTCCTTATATAATAGCTTGAATTTTAGACGTATGCAAAGAATTCATCAAATGATTGATTGTATTTCAATACTTTATTTATATACAAAAATTTTTCTAAATAGTAATTCTAGTAAAAAATCAGAAACTTCAAAATAAAGTTGATTAGTTTAAAAATTGTTTTAATAATTCTAATAAAATAAATAAGTGTGGTTTGGATGGTAAATAAAGAATATTATCAATAATTGCTGATAATTTTAGGTATTACAAAATATAAGAAAATTTGAAAGTGAGTTTAAATAATTTTTATTAATCCTTAATAATCAAAACTTTACTAAAAATTTGCTAAATTTTTTAAGACTTGCAAAATTCAATTCTGCTTGATCTGAATTATTAAGTGTTGTCATAAAAATCGTAATATCTTGGGTAATAATTTGAAATGGAAAAAAAAGGCTTCACTTTGATAATTGTTCAGCTATTATTTTATTATTAAAGCCCAAAATATTTAGTTTAAAAAACACAATTTTACAATAAAATTTTTTTTGTAAATTTTATTTATTGCTTGCTATATTTAAGGTTGAATAAATTATAGCTTTATATCTATTTCACATATATAATCAGATTTTCAACTACTCAAATAATAAATTCTTTTTAGTAGTTTGAATTTAACTTTCAAATTAACATGTACTGAAATACATATTTATTTGTTTGTTTATTTTGAGTTTTTAAAAAAACCTATCAACTAATAGCAAAAGGGTTATAATGTAATTTTTGAATAATATTACCAGGAGCTAACAATTTCTTTTATAATTTTGAATTGACATGATTTAAACCAAAAATGCAATTTTACTATTATTAATTAGCATAATAATTTTATATTAAATTTTGATCAGGTGGTCTGATTGATCGGTGGATCAGCAATTAAAGCAATTTCTAATTAATAAAATTAAAATATTATTATTTATAAGCAATAAGATCAGTAATATAAGTAATATAGTTGTTCTTTTATAAAATATAAGTTAACTAAATCTTTTAATACTTATTAGTAAATGATGACATTAAGGAATATTATAATATGATTTTACTTTTATCAACATGATCATTTTGTTATTGACATCATCATTTTAATTTTCTGCCGATATGACTTGCGATAAAACCTCCGACTTTTACATTTTAAATAAATTCCCTGAAATGAGCAAATTATATATATACAATTTATCTCTTTTATTTGATATTCCCATTTTCATTCTTCCCATCCTTTGTCATGCCACATAAAATTACTGATTGTTCATCCATGATTAACGAAGATCAACAAGAAAATGTATTGGATGAAAAAGCAATGCAGAATATTCAAGAAAGATGCCAAAGAATACGTGATTCTTCAAATCCACTTTATGATGCAGCAAAAATCGCTGTATACATCAATTGTTTGATTGAATTTTTACGAGAACAAGGGTTTAAATATAAACACGAAAACAGCTTTGATCGAAATAAACCGGACAGTTTTGAAGTAATTGAAGTCAAATCAGATAAAAAAGTTAAATGCGAAATTAGTAATGATTTATTTAAGTTATATTTTGGAGACGTGCAGTTTGATGATGATTCAAGCGGAAGTAGTAGAAGTGAATCAACTTCGAATGAGGGTGAAGAAATTACCATTACTGAGGAAGAAATAGAAATGATAAATGGAGTTGCATTTTCTGCTATCAAAGAAGATAAATGATAATCCTACGAAAGAATGTATATAAAACTTACGTCTTTATTAATTCATCCGCGGTAATAATCATCACGGTATAGAAAACACGAAATAACCTTTTTTTTTGAGTATCTTTCATTGAGAATTGAAGAATTTTATTTTCTTTAAAATAGGATTAATTATTTTCAATCCTGTAATCGTAGCTAGGATTAGAAAAATTTTTTTTTGTTGTTGTTTTACATAATATTTAACATTGCTGTGCGAATGATTAGCAAATAATGATAATTTTGTTTTTTTTTTTTTTTTATAAAATTCATTAATTTTTTTAAATTTAAATTTATTTTTTATTCCCCATATTTTTAAATTTTTTAGCTAATTTCGTTATATCTTGCGGCTTAACTTTCTTTCTATTTCGATTTTTAACATTAGCAGTTTCATAAAAATGTACCCCGATCTTTCTTTTGTTAGTTTTCATACGCGGTTCTTTTTTGGATATCGTTAATTCATCATCATCATGTGTCCCTTTTGTAGACGATAAAGGATTAAATTGAAGTAAATTGTAAAAACATGCAAGTTGATTAGTCATGATTATGATGCATACCTTTTCTTTTACCACGTTTGTTCTTTTTTGACTTGTTTATTACAGTTTCAACCTTATTCTTTCCTTTGTACGATGACTCTTCCTGATCATCGTGATCTTCTTCCTCATCTGATGCGCCTTTAGTTTTTTCACTTATATTATCATCACTTTGTTCTCTATCGGAATCATCTGTTTTCAAATTCAACTCGCTTACATCTTCATCGGCTAAAGTTTCGGCATCATCATCTTCATTGGCATTCTCAACTTTATCGTTCATAATGCTAGACACTTCTTCACCAACCACACTTTCAAATATTTCATCCCAATCAGGTATATCCTTATCTTCTTGAACTTTATTCTTGATCGGCAAATCATCATCATCATCATCATCATCATCAATGATATCATTTTCTTCGTATTGTGATGTTTTAGCTTCATCTTCTTCAATTCCAAGATCATCAGGTAAGAATGATGTTATGACCTGTATATTACGTAAATTTTGTTCTACTCCTTTTAATTTCTTTTTCTTTTCCTAAATGATACAAATATATATAGAGAGAGAAATGTAAAAATTTCATAAGTCATAAAATATACTATTAAAAATGTAATATCATGTCAAAAGTAGAAATGTCATAATGATCATAATATAAAATTAAAAAATATCATAATCTTGTGGAAATAAAAAAAATGGATTTGTAAATTTTTAAAATAATTTCGTTCCTTTTCCTAGTTATAATTTCGTGTAACGGGTGTAATATTATAAATATTCCAAAAAAGGAAATGTGATGCCAGTGGAGTTTTTTTTTAAAAATAAAACCAATTCATCAAGTTAAATGTGCTATTATAAATCTTATAATGCAAGAATCTTATTTCTTACTTTCCCAGCTCACCCCAAATTATATTTTATTAATAGTGAATTGATTTTTTTGAGATAAATTTCCATAATTTTTAACGTGATCTTTCCAAAACTTTAAAAATCATCAGATTTGTCAAGTTACCTTTGAATTATCAGAAACTTTCTCGGCAGCCTTTTCCTCCTCTTTAACTAGTTCGGCATTTTTAATCTTCTCCTCATCATCATTTCGTGGAGGAGGAGTAAAATATGGTATTTTACCACGTAGCCAATCATTCAGAACCATTTTAGCTACGGTGCTCAAATCAGGTTCGCCCTTTTTTAATAATTTACCATATTTTTGTGCTAATCGCGAAAGAAAATCTACATGGTCAGTCCATTCACGTACTTCATAAGTACGTTGTATATATTCTAGTCGTACTATTTCTAGTATTTTTTGAATGTAATCTTCGGGAGTTTTTAGATTTTCAACGCGTACCTAAGAGAAAATGTGCACTTTTTAATAAAAATGCTTGTCTAGTGAGGAAAAAAAAAATCACTCAAAACCTTTTTGTTCCTTACTTACAACTCCTTTAAGCACAATATCTGTTTCGCTGTCTTCCAATGAAGGCGGTACAATTCCCGGACAATCTATTAAATATATACGTTTCATTAACGTGATATATTGCCATACCTAAACAAAATAAAAAATAAAAAGAATGTTTAAAAAAAATCGAATATTGGTTAAAATAAAAATCGATAATCCTTTTGATTTTCACCTTTGTTTCGCCAGGAATTGGAGCAACGTTACACACTTTTTTGTTTCTTAAAGTGTTTATGATTGAGCTTTTTCCAGTATTGGGATATCCAATAAACCCGACACTAATTTGCTTCTTGTCCGAATGTAAAGATGAAAATTGCCTTAATAATTGTATCAGGGATCCTTTACCAAAAGAATTATTGATGCTAGCATGAAACGCTAAAGTCGGATATTCCTTTGATAATATAGAAACCCATTTTGCCTAATATAACATATAATGAGATAACATACAAAGTTAATAAAATCCGAAACCAACATTAAAGTTTTTTTAATTGATGTTCGATTTGAAACTAAGAAAAGCAAAGGAAATAAAATTAGGTTTCGCTCTTCAACTCTACTCAAAACACAACACACTCTGTTAGAACATTCTTAGAACAAGAAGTTCAAGGCGAAGTGCGAATTTTATTCTACCATATTTGTAACGGGTAATCTTTTACTATACAACAAAAGCTACCCTGACTTCGTATGGCGGGAATCATTAACAAACATCAATTAAACAAATGCGTGGAGGGGAAGATTTTTTCATTGCACATACAAATAAATCAACTTACCGTAACCCAAGTTGGGACCAGATCGCATTTATTTAACAGGAATACCAAATGCTTATGACCAACATCCTTTTTTATATATTTTACAACGTTTTTACATTGCGTACCAATTGGATCTCGTGCATCTAAAACGTGAATCACAACATCCGATGAATCTATAACCTAAAAAAAAAAAAACAGCAATCATAATATTAATCAATTGGTTGCGATTCAACTATGTACTTGGGGATATTTAAACACTTACCTTATATAATTCATTCCAGATACGCTTTGATTGACCTTTGGAGAATACACTATCTCTAGCTTCGTCGATCCAATCAGTTATATTATTAGATAATAATGATGGATCATTCTTGTCATCATAATTTTCTAATAGTTCAGTTGTACTAGCTGCTAAATTTTCTAACGAATCAACTTTCAATTTAGGTCGTTTTCTTTGTGCCTTTGGACCAAATGTATCTGAAAATGGTTCTGTGTCAACCATGTGCATTCGTGATACCTATTGAAGAAAAAGATTTTTTTTTTCCTTAAAATCTTGAAAAAAAATCCGAGAATTTAAATAATGCTTTAATATAAACCTTTGATGCGTCGGCTAATAAACTCATGGGTAATTTATTCTGTCGAAGTAACACTTGATATGGGTCATTGACTTTTGAACCGAGGCTTTCTCGAAAAGCCTCTAATTCCTTTTGTCCGATGACTCTAGTGTTTCCTATTATTTTTTAAGAGTACGTGTCATGTTATTGACGTAAAAAGGAACGCTCATTTTTCTTAACTATCGAGATAAAAACTCACCGAACCATCTCCTATCCGGTTGCACTTTAGCAGCAATGGCCAATTTACTCTGGAAAGGTGCCTCCTTAATGATCTTTCCTTTAGAATTTCTAGTCGGCTTTCCTCCCTTGAGCATATTAACAAACTTCACTTGTTTAGCATCCCGATAAAAATTCTCACCCTTTACTTTCAGGTTACCTTTCGCCGGCACACCCCCATTTTTATTTTGTTCTCTAGCAATTCTGTTCTTTTCTTTCTTGGCTTTACCCATGCTTTCTCTGATTTGAAAATTGAAAAAAAAAACAGTGGGCTTGTACAAAAATCTTTTTTTACATCTGGATATCAATGATTACGCAATACCATACGTTCGTGACACCTAAACACGAAAATCGGGATATATATGTTCGACTGACTGATTCAAATACATCAAAATTTAAAAGGAATACGTTTTTAAATCAATTAAACATGGACACGGTATGCTTGCTTAGGGGTTATTAATTCCCAAAGTTTAATCGTCTTAATCGTTGACTCACTTCAAAATTTTTAATTTAATAGGTAAACCAGTCTCTTCTTATTGCTCCCTCTTCTCACGCAGATCATGACACAAAAAGCCTTACAGAGACGGCCAATTCTTTTGGTGTTCACGATACTTTACGTTACGGAATAAGAACAATCGAGTCTGAAATTCTAGAAAAGCATCCGCTAGAGAATAGAATCAAACATGTATGGTAAAAAAAAATTATTGTCTTTAAAATATATAAATATCTTTACAATTCGGTTTTTTTAATAGTGGGAAGGAACTCGAACGAATTTGAATCTTACGATGCAAAGAAGACTTTATGGTATGCACGCTCCAATTAGACATCTCATGGAACGTAGTATTGTATCAAGGGTAATAAATTTGTCACGTAACTTTTATAAACGGTAATAAGCAGCCGTGTATACAATCATTTATTCTTATTTATTTCAAAACCCCAAGGTTCAACGTATTCCGGTTTTACCTTCCTCCAACCTTGGATTAGACATTTTGACGGGCAAGGATGAAACCATCGATTTCGAAGATTTCTTGAACGGTTTGTTATATTTGACATTTCAATTCCTTCCTTTCTCTTAAGAAAAAGGATGGGTTTAACCAAGTATAAAACATTCATTTTAAACAGAACCAGAATCATCAACGGATATGATTGACGTTCACGCAATTATGGAATACAGATTAGGAATCAAACTGTCTGCGTTTAATTAGTTGTAATAGGTTCCCTTTGACAATAGGGTTTAAATTATATATATATATATATATACATCATACAATAATGTCAATAATGAAGTTTTTAAATCTTTCATATGCAGTGTCCAAGTCGTCATTTACGATAATTATATCATGTGAACCTTCTTGATCCGCATAAGCTAATTCTTCTTTTGCAGCATCAAGACGCGCTTGTATGGATTCTTCGGTCTCGGTATTACGACCGAGAA